ATACGTGTGTTGAAATAGATTTACAGGAAAACTGTGGAAGTTTCATTGTTTGAGTCTCATGATTTCCAACGGAATTGTTTTCTTCAGCCAATTGTTTATAAAATATGTTAGTTGTATTGGAAGACGATTTTATAAAATCGGCAACATAAAAAAGATAAGTTCCTACACTTTTGATGTTTGAATGGTATCTTATTATCATACATATTATATAGAATTTGTGTGGAATAGAGATGGTAACATTACCGTTGTGAGAAAGTTGTTTATTTCTAAAAGTTTCGATTTTAGCATAGTTATTTTTTGTGGTGACACTATGATAAAGTTAAAACTAGATCAAGGACTTAATACATATTTATGATAATATACTTTTCCCTTTAGCAACCAGTGATGTTGCAGTTTTATMGTTACATTTACAATATATACTATTGAACTTCAGAAACTTTAATGTTTAGTGATACCTAATAATGTATATTACTTCTACTGTTTAAAAATTCAAAGATTTATTTTAGCCTTAACGTGTTCATATTATACCATAGTCAATATTCAACCAAGTACTTTAGATAGGCAAGTCGATACGTAGTTGTATGTAATTATAAATAATATGTAAATATACTAACATTGTATATTAGTATCATTATGTCAAATATTTTTTTTTAATACTCGTCTAATATTCTCATAACAAAATTATTTTATTTTAATAATTGGATGTATAAAAAATGTATTCGCATGCAAGAAATATATTATTTTGGACTTCAGAGGAAGCACTTCAAACTATGATAATATATGGTTTGTAAGATTCAAAATAAACATCAATTTTCTTAAAACTTAGTTTTTAATTTAAGTTTTCTAAATAATTAAAAATAAATATTGACACTAAAAATGAATATTACAATTAAGATAAAATAATTAACATATTATTGGTTACTATTAAATCTTGGCATATGCAATAATCTCAATGTTTTTCAGCGTCACTCATCATCATCTATTCGTTAAAGACTCATTAATATTATACTTTAGGGCAAAATCTAAATATTAATAAATTTTCTACGTTACAAATAACAAGCAGGCAAATTTATTACAATTGTATATTTTAAAACATTATAAAAAAGTAAAAAAAAAAATATTCATGAAAGCGTATGTTTTTAAATATAGAATATTACTATCTAATTTTAGGTTAGACTATTTTTAAAAATTTTATCAAATAAATTCATTGATTTAAAAAATAAAAATAAATAAATTCCCATACATGAAAATTACTTTACCAGGGCAACAAACATTGACAAGTAAAATACATATTTAGCAAAAAGTTTTCTAGTGATTCATCAGTGTAACAAGTATTGGACAAATTTCAGTATATTGAATAATAGTTATTAAAGTATTATTTTTAAGTTAAAATAATAGTTAAGTATTCAATTTAATACGTTTATCAAGCACCATGAATGTTAGTTTGATGAAAGCAAAAACTTCAATGGCTCTTGGTCAATACAAAACTGCTACTAAGTATTTCAAAGCGTATATAGACGAAAATCCTCATATTCCATTAAACAAAGAAGTATTAAACCAGTTACATGAAGCATACAATCATTTATCGAATGATAAGCTCAAATGTGTACTTGAGCTAGAATCATACTTGGAGTTACTCCAAGACAGCGATCAGGAACGCATTGTAGCTATCACCTCTTTGCTGGATGAAACCAGAAACGATTTAATTGCCATCTGTACTGAAGTCGTTAACATTGTGAATACCAGTTTACTCGTTAATGTGGAAGATATTCGAGAAAAAGTGTTGATTTATAATATGAAAGGCCTTTATTGTCGGTAAATTCCGTAGTTTTCGATATTCGCTGTATATTATACATTCAAATTCTAATAATTTTTAGTAATTTAATAATCAGATGGGTTAAACTCGACGAATAATATAACTTTAATTCAATTGTGTCTTACATTTAAATTCATATTAGATAAGTCCTAAAAAAACAGTATTTTTGTTGAAAATATGTCAAATGTTTAAATTATTTCTTTAAATAGTCATAAGAAATAACCATTTTCAAAATTAAAAGTCTTTTAAGCGGTTCTAAATTATAGTAATGAACGATACAATTTAAATTATGCAATATTATTAATCCTCTAGGATTATAATGAGAAAAGTATATAATGTAAAACAATCCTTGTAATTAGATAGTTATTTATGATGATTTTATTTTTATCGTTTATTTAAATATACACAATCTGTAAATGTTGTTTTACAATAAGTGCATGTGATGGAGGTGACATGGCTTGAGTGTCTGGAGATAAGAAGCCACCCATTGGAGACACTTAAGGTTAGGATTTTAGGCTAGGATTTTAATTTGCGAGTAAGAGAGGGCGGGATTACAAAATTAAGTGGATGTAGGGGTATATACAATTTTAGATTAGTAAGTCACGACACCAGGTACGTTTTAGACGCCTTCTGGGGTCGCCGGGATAGATAGCTCGGAAATCAGGGGATTACGATGGCTGTGTAACTTGGAGTGTGTGCGATTGTAAAAAGTTTTTGCTACGTTTTGGACTGTTGGGATGGCTAGATCTTTATGTAGAGTTTCGTTAGATAAATAGTAAGTTAGGCTTTAGTTATTTGACGGAGATATTTAGATTGGAAGATTTGAATTTTGTTTAAGTTGGACTTTTTTGCTGCACCCCAGAGTTGGATGCCGTATGTCCAGATCGGTTTGAGTAGGAGCTTGTATAATAGTAGCTTGTTTTTTAAGTTGATGCGTTGTGATGTGAGGAGAAAACGTAATTGGCGAGAGCGATTATTTAAGGCGAGGCTTTTGTTGTGGGTGTGAGTTGCCCAAGTTAACCTGCGGTCTAAATGTAGACCAAGGTATCGGACATTTTGGTTGGTTGGGAGAGGTACATTATTGAGGTAGATGGAGGGGGGCAGACTATTTGCCTTAGTGTGAACGTACAATGGATGCATTTTGTTTCKTTGATTTTTATTCCCCAATCTTTATCCCGGGTTGATAAGAGATTGAGATGGTTTTGTTAGAGGCTATTTCGGGGTCCTAATGGATCGCTAGAAGCGCCTTGTCGTCGGCAAAGTCACCATTTGTAGTGTTAGGGGTGGTAGGTTGATCTGAGGTGAATAAATTGAAGAGTAGAGTTGCTGTTACAGATCCTTGAGGTACCCCTGCGTGGACTGGTGATACTTCGGATAAGGAGAAGCCAGATCGGACGGCAAAATGTCTGTTTTCTAAATAGGATTTAAATAATAGAAAATAGTATGGCGGAAGAATAGATTTGAGTTTGAAGAGAAGCCCTTCGTGCCATACTCTGTCGAATGCCTGTGATACATCGAGGAAGGCAGTTGTGCAAATAAGCTTTTTTCAAGAGTGAATGATATTTTATCCACTAGTCGATGGACTTGGTGTATTGTAGAGTGATTATGACGAAATCCAAATTGGGTATTAGGTATGCTGGCTTCAATGATAAGAAGGATGCGTTTTAGGATAATCCGTTCAAAAATTATTGAAAATAGTGGAAGAAGACTAATGGGTCTGTATGATTCGGAAGAGTCAGGGGGTTTGCCAGGTTTGGGGATCGTAATGATGATTGAGAATTTGCAAAGGACAGGGAAGTATCACAGTCTAAGTATAGAGTTGAAAATGTGTATTAAGAGAAGTAAGGTTTTTTTGAGAAGTTGTGTAGCTACCTCAGCTGTAATTAGGTCATAACCTGGACTTTTGTGACGAGGGGAGTTTCTTATCGCATATTCAACATAGCTAGGTCATATATGTTTAGACGGAAGAGTCATGGGTAGAGGGTGGAAGAGAGAATGGTTCACTTTTTCGATTTGAGAAGGAGTGAGAATATTATTGTGCGGTTGGAAGGTAGAGTAGAGATGATGTCAAAATATATTGGCTTTATCTAGATCAGTGACGGCCCAAGTACCATCGGTTTTTTTTTAGTGGAGGAACAGATTGTTTTGTTTGAAGGATTTTCTTTCTGTTTGCCAAAGCGAGTTGCCAGTAGACGAGAGGGAGACGAGGTGTTTGGTGAAATTATCTGATCTAATAGAGGCTAGGAGTTTTTTTAAGTTTATTTGTTAAATTGTTAAGTTTGCGTTTGTCCGAGGGATATTTGGTTCTTTGCCAAGTTGCACGCGCTCTCCGTTTGTCTGAGATTAGTATTCTTATATGTAGGAGAAGATTTATGGAGGTGTTTTTAATTGGCATTAGGGAGGAGGAGGACCAAGCAGCTTCTTGTATAGACTTGGTTAGGAGGTGYACGGCTTCATCGATATCGTTTGGAGATTTTAAGCTAATTTTGAGGTTATATTGATCATCAAGGGATGATTTGAATTTTACCCAGTCCATTTGGCCTAGGATGAGGCTTTGTTGTTTTGGTTTAGCGAGAATTTTGTCAATTTTTAAGGGATGGCTGAATGGTCAAAATATAGGTCGTTGAGATTAGTTGTTAGGCTGTGGAAACTATTGGGAATTTCAGATATAAATATGTCCAAAATGTCTGGCCTTTTTCTGGGTGAAGTGGGCCAGTATGTTGGTGATAGAGGAGAGTGTACTTTGTAGTTACGATTTTGTGTTGTGAGTTCAAGTAGGTTACCACGGGGATTGTTTACGCGACAGCCCCATTGTATAGTTTTAGCATTTAGATCAACTCCTATTATAAATTTATGGCCAAGAGTAAGGAAGAAGTCGTTGAATTGGTTTAAGGTTTTTGTGTGGTGCGGTGGATTATAAACTGCAAATATATTTAGAGGGGTGTTGTTAAATTTTATTTGTATGCCACTGGCTTTATTGTGATCCGTTTGGAATTGTGGGAGAGGATAGAATAGTAGGGAAGATTTTATTATGATGGCGGTTCCCGCGTGTGCGGTGCCGTCAGGGTGGTTGGTTTTGAAGACTTGGAACCCATGTAGGTAGAAGTATGTTGAATTGGTGAAGTGAGTTTCTGATATGAGGGCGATGTCGATCCTGTTATTTTGTAGTATGGCTAAAAGTTCGTCTTTGTGTTTTACTAGACCATTTTCGTTCCAATTTAGGATGAGGAGAGAGTGAGATGTTGCGTTATTATTTGACATTTTTGGTGTTAATGAGATTTGAGAGGACGGTGGTAAGGAGAGAGATAAGAGGGTTTATTATAGATTTGAACTCATCAAGGAATTTAAGAAGTGAGGTTTCATTGGTGTTTGTGGAGGTATTAGAGTTTGGGGACTGGTGACCCTTAGTTACATTAGCATACGTACGTGACCTGGGTGTGTTTTCGGAGCCTGGTTGTTGCTGTTGATATTCAGGTTTAGTGTTGATGTTGAGATTAGAAGGCGGTGGCTKATGGGCTTTCTTGCTTGAGGTGTTGTTGTTGTGTTTCCGGGAAATTGTTTGGTATATTGTGCATCCCTTGTAGTTGGCTGGATGTGCGCCTTGACAGAGGCCGCATTTTGCTGGTAAGTCTGGAGATTTTGTGCACGATGATGAAAGGTGGTTTCCACCACATTTGACACATATGGGTGGGTAAGCGCAGTATGAGCGTGTGTGTGTGTCCATAGCTTTGACAGTTTTGGAATTGTGGTATCTGTCGTTTTTTATGGGGCTCTTCCATTTTTACTTTTGTGTGCAAAATAGAAGTAATAGAGAAGATATCAGTATCGTTTTCTCCATTAGGGTCTATGTCAATAAAGAACATGGGCAACGAAGTTTTGGTTTGGTGGTGTTTAGCATTGGTGACATTTCTCACCGTGTAACCTATTTCTTCTAGAGCTGTTGTTATATCAAATTCTGGAGTAGTTGGACGTAGGTTCCTTGGGGAACTTCCTTTGGGACTACTCTTAGGGGTTTATTGGATTGGAGCTAGTATGTGTGGTACTGTGCATTGATTTTTCTTTAATTGTCTGGGGTATCAGTTTGAACTTTTAGATGAGTTGAGGTTGATTTACACGAGAAGGTGTTTGGACCAATGATTTGTTTAAATTTAAAGCAAGCCCATGTAGTCAATAACCCCTTTAATGAAGATGGGTGGAGGCAAAATTGTTTTCGGTGTGTTGTTGGTGGTATTCGGTTGCTCCTCGTTTTGATTATCAGATATGACGTTAAGGTTTTCGATAGTAGGCTCGTCTAAAGATAGAACGCTATACCTGTTTGGTGTGACAAACGATTTAGCTTCCTTAATGCAAGCTGTATAGGATGGTGATTGTGGTGGAGAGGATGACATCGAAAAGTTACGTTTATTTATATTTTTGTCTTCATTATTTTTGCTGATTATTTGGTTATTGGCAATTTTAATTGGGGACACGGTTCTGGAGGCCATATCGCCAATGTTATCGGAGTCCAAAGGTCACCGCGAGTGACGGTGCCTGTGGTCGGTTTGTGTTTGGACTAAGTACGTTTCGCAGTAGTGGGATGTAATTTATTTAGTTTATTTTAAATAAATAAAATATTAAACGATGTTACTTGATTTGGAGAAGTATTTATCCCGTATGTTGATCAGCTAACAAGTTTGTAGCAAGAGTGTCAAGTATTTCGTTGAATGAGATGAAAAACGAAATTTTCTGTTCGGTAGAAGTTTCATAACAGGACATAATCCGAGAGCGACGTATAAATGCGTGCGCACTATCGGACTGCCTGCGCATGTGTATTTATGATGATTAAAATTCAATTTTGTTAAAAATATATGTTTATTTAAAATGTTCATAAACTGTATGATACTCATTCGATTTAAATTTATCTACAAATTCTACATAATATATTAATATTTTAGGTACACGTGGGAGGCAAATAATAGCGACGCGACTTGCATAGTAACGACTAAAGCATTTGAAGAAGCTATGAGTTTATGTCAGTGGAATTTTGAACCATCAGACCCTTACTTATTGCATATTGCATTTAACTTAACAACACACCTAAACAATGCTAATGATACGGACATGGCTATTGTTATTTTAAAAAGAGTTATTCAAAACGCACAAGAGAATGATCTTGAAAATTATGATTTCTCAACGAAGTCATATATTGAGTTATTTTTGAAATACTTAAATGAATGCTTAGCTCGATTTCAGATGATCCAACACCAAAAACTTATAGAAGCAATTGAACGAATGCAGGATCATCTTCCTCAAGATTCATTGTATGACGATGTAATCACCAGACGACGAGGCTGATCTTTTAAAAACATTTCTACTTTTATCAACAATATTCAAGTTTACGATTTGTTTTCCAAAATGGTGAAATGAGTAATTAATTGAATATTTATTTTCTAATCATGTGTTTAGGTACAAGTTCTATTGGCATAATCAAATAATTATAATGATTACTATTGTTTACCATATATACTGTTGAAAATAAAAAATTGGTAAATATGAACATGTATATGTCTTACAAAAGTATTTTTTATGGTTATTTTAAGCTTCTAATACAATATTTAAATTTCAAGGTTTATTAAAAATAAATTTAAAATGTTGGTGGTATATTATATACATTACATTTATATTAACCAAAATGGCAAGTATGATTATATTATGAAGATCCAACATATTTTTCAATATTTTTTTGGAATAAAAAAAAATTATAACTGATAAAAATAAATAACGTACTACCCACCTAAGATTTAACTGCCAGTAATGTACAGGATGGCGTAGCGGTGTTTACCTTTTTCTCATTTAACTATCACAGAATAAGATAAATTATGTCTCAACACTCATTAATAATAAATTTATTATAAAAACAAATAAAAATAAAAATGTAATATAAATTTTTAGATAATCTTCATAATCCACGCAATCACACATAATTTTCGCAACTTACAATACTTAGTTTAAATTAAAATTAGAGCACATATAAAAAAATTAGTTTTATTATTATCAAAGGTACTTTTGGTAAAATATTAATTAAATACTATAAATTAATATTATGTTTAATTTTGAATCTTCTATTTTTTATCTTATAAATATGAACCATATGAAATACCAAATGATGAACTAATTATAATTTATAGTATGGACTATTTACAAGGATTACATGTGTGATCGTCTAAAGAAATTGTATATTTTTTTCATTTATAAAATATTACGTGAATAAAATAGGATAGTCGTTTTAATAATAAATCAGATAAATGATTTATATAAAAACATGCAATATGTATTCAGTTATTTACTGAATTCTAATAAAAAAAAAAAAAAAATAAAAAAAAATAGTAACTATAATAATATACAAACAACCTACTTATGGTGACATCTGTGTTCGTTTTTCGGACAGTAGATTTATTCAAAACTTTTGGAATAGTCCTTTCCCAGAAAATTGTTTACATAAATAGAATAATAAAATATAAGCATATTATATTAATAGCCATTAGTTTCTTTGTTTCAATCAAAAACTTAAACACTATTTGTTGATAATATTGTATTCATTGACCATTGTTGATTTTGAATAAAATCTAAAAATTTGAAAAAAGTTTACTCAATTCAAAATAATAATGAAAATAAAACTTCCAAAACCAGGCCGAATTTATTTGCTATTTTGATGCTATACTAAAACAACATCAACAACAAAAACAAATTATATATTTCTTGCACCGTTAAACTATTGTACCAAACACAATTTTTATGACATTGATTTTAACTCACGTTCATAATACAAAAAAATATCAACGATAAGCAAAACGTGAGTATGCGGCGTTTCACAGATCAAAATATACAATCGAATCAGACCATAAAATAAATGAAATATGAAATAGCAAGACTGAAATTCACAAAGAAAACTTATTTCATTGTTTTTACATATGTTCAATTTTCATTTCACAAAAAATAATTTATTTTACTTTATGTTACACAAGAAAAATAAGTACATTTGATTGAGACATATTGTGTAGGTAAGTCACATGGTAACTTATTATTTAGAAAGTGAAAAAATGCTACATCATAGAAATAAACTTAAAATACCTAAAAAATACTATACTACTAAAAAATAGAATCAATTGCTACAAGAAATATTATGGTGCGTAATTTAAATGTCATCATTATTAATTTAAGTACGATAAAAATATTATGTAGGTATACATTTTGCTAACTAATTAAGTCCCTTAAGTTATCTGCACATAATTGTGTTATTTTTTTTTATGTTTTTGATTCCGTACATGAAGATATACTGTGTAAGAAACTGTAATTTAATAAAAAATTTAATCTAATTTATGCATAAATATTATGACTACAAAAACTTAGTAATTGATAAGTAAGCTCAAAACATTTAAGCAATAACATGTATTTTGATGTTAAAAACTATATACGTTCAATATTGATAGTAGGCAGTCTTCAATACATTTATAGTGATTACTAGTTAAACGCTTCACGTAGGTATATTTAAAGCGATACCAAAGGTTAAATTAAAATACCAAGGTACTCATTTAAGAAGTACCTCTTAAAGTCTTTGCTGATATAGATTTAAAGATTTTTATTGATCTGTTAAAATACGTATATCATAATTTTATGATGATGTTTTTTATTTGTATTTGTCTAAAATAAAATGTGAGGTCGAAAAATTATAAAATATATTAACGTAAATATAAGAAACCTTATATTAATTTTACTAGGGGTCGGCCGATACTAGAACCGATACTAGATATCTGCCAATATCGGTGATATCGGTTTTATCGGTATCGGTTTTTTTTCAAAACCGATATTTCAACCGATACCAAAAAAAAAACCTATCGATCAGCATAGTATTGATAGTATCATAATTCACAAATGCACAGGTTAGTTTATCAATAATCAAATACTATAGATTATTGGCAGGACTGTCGTTGTTATCACATTACAATAATATTTTATTAATAGCAATATTATTTTTAAAAATTTTAAATTTTAATACAATAGATAACCATACTATATCTAGTCGCAGTGTCGCACTACTAGTAAGCAGTTACTAGTGTAGTAGTGTTACTACTTACGAAATACGAGATTACAAAATATTAAATATTGAATACTAGTATACTGTTTATTTAGTATTTATATTATTAAATTTAATAATTATTTACTAGTTTTATATAATACCTAGCGTAGTAGTTACTATGTCAGTTGCTTGGAAATTTTTCATTAAATGTCCAGATGATGTTTCGAAGGTGCAATGTTCGGTTTGCAACAAAAAAGTTTGTAGAGGAGGTACTAATTCTCGAGATTTCACTACCTCAAACCTTATTAAACACCTCAAAAATAACCATAATAATGAGTTCATGAAGGTAACAAATAAAAGAAAAATAAACTTAAAAGTAAACATCGTTCTGTATCTGAAGTATAATCTGAGGTATGACATTGTATGATTTAAATTTGAATTTTATGTACCTAAGTAATGCGATTAAAAATAATTTTTTTAACAAATAAAAAAACTGACTACTAATTAGTATTAGTATTAAATATTCACTTATAAGTTATAATTTCTCAAGCAGAATTCATATTTTTTATTTATGAACCATTATTTAAATATTTAATACCGATCATTCTAGTCCATCTAGCTCAGTAGACTCAGAACGTGCATTCAGTACAGCTGGTTTTATTTGTTCAAAAAGTAGAAATGCATTGAACCCAGAGAAGGTCAGACAATTAATATTCTGTTCAAGAAATATTAAATACCTGGGATAAAATGTGCTTTATAATTTATAAAATTGTTTAACACTTTTTTATTTTTTTTATATTCAATTTGTTGAGAGGCAAAAGAAGCATAGTATTATTTATTATTTTATTAAGTACCTATACAAGTAGTATTTGTTAACAAAAAAGGTTAGTGAAGGTTCATTTATGTTTATTGTTATTTGTTGTTCATTATTTTTAAATTTGTTATAGGCTTTAACTTACAGCTTAATACATTTTATTTTATAGACTATTATGTATTAAAGACTGAAAAATAAACTAACGTGTGATAACTCTTAAATAATAATTATCAATTTATTACCATTAATAAATAATAATCAATGTTTTCACTTTTCTAGGTAATATTATTTGTGTTATCAGGTATCGGATTTATTATATATCGGTTGATGGTATCGGTTTATGGTGGTATCGGCTCATGTTTTTTTTGTCAAAAATTTTATTTTAACATTTCCATATATTATCGGGTATCGATTTTATATCGGAATATCGGACATCGTTAATAAGTGGTATCAGCCCATCCCTAAATTTTACTACCTACCATATAAAAAAAAAATGTGTTTAATTTTTTTTAAATACCTTTTAGGGATTTTTACAATCCAGCATTCCGATACAAAAATATTGATATATGTATAAGTATGAAGTTGCAAATGTCCAAAACCGTGTTGCAAATAGTTGCAAATAAGATGCAAAATATTGGCATAGGTTTGAAGTTGATCGGGTGAAATCAGGGGGCCAACTTCACGGACGTAATATATTATCATGTATAGGTACTTGTTAATATTTTTTATATCATTATTAAAACAATAGGTACCTATCATGAAATTAAGACAATTATAAAAATATGTATTTGTGAAAACTATAGTTGAAATATATGTAATATATTTTTTTTATTTGTTCTTCAATTCACGATGTTTAAAAGTTTACAGTTTAATATTTAAATTTTATAATTTATATATACTTAAAAAATTATTGATTTACATAATATTTTATAATAATATTTAATTTATCCATAATTAATTACAGTAACWTATACACGATGAGGTCATATACATAAATACAGAGTGTCCCACAGAGATCTGACATTCTGTCAAATGAAATAACTTTTGTTCTAATCAATATTTTAAAAAAATTTCTTTTAAATATAATTCATAGACACTTGCGCTACAAGAATACATTTTTTATTTTTTATTTTTAATACTGAAAATAAAAAACTTAAAAATTGATAAAAAAATTTTTCGAAATATTCAATATAGCCAATTTGTAAATCTGATTTTTAGAAAAATGTATATGGTAAAAACACTTATTTAAGTCAAATTGCTGATTTTTACAATTTGTCAGAATGTCAGATCTCTGTGGGACACCCTGTATATGCACTGCTTCCATCTATAATATTATAAATTCAAATTTAAAAATTTTTAAGTCAACAATTATACTGTCAAYTGACAGACAGTTAAGAATTTAGTATTCAATACTTTTTTAATTAAATTTGCAAATGTTCATGACATACCTTGTTTTTTCAAGAA